CTTTTTGCATTTATAAAGATCCCAAGATAAAAGCCTTTTCAAGCCCCCCCCCCCCTCTCAATAAATAAAACAATCTGTCTNTGTCTATATATGAGTGACAGAATTGAAGTGTAAAAGTTATTCTGTATTTCGAATCAATGAAAAATTGGACAAATTCGGTTATTTTTAAATGTCTTAAGTATCCTCTACATACCTCTGTAATCTAACAATTATAACTAAAAACGAATCAAACGGGAAGTGAAGAGCTATACTTAAATGAAAACGCTCACAGTCATTACACAATTAAGTTTAGTTCTGCATAGGTATTTATGCAACAGATATTGACTTCTAATTATATCAATCTTGAAGTATTTGGACATTGTGTCTGAATGATTTTGAATCTTTTTTCTCCGGAAAAATTTTGCACGGACAAATTTCGACACTGCCTTCGCGCGTCGTTCCACTGACGTATGACCGAGTCCACTTGAGTGGCTACACTGTGCTGTTCCGACAGATAGTCTTCAACTGTTGTCTATGACACCTCAATAATTTGAGGACCAAGCAAGACGCAAACAAATCAAGCCACGACGCGAGATTGCACAAAACATTCTCAAATTTACTAATCACTCGTTGTTTTAGAGTATCATGTTTGGATTAGCTCATTTGATTGTTCAGAGGCACCAGGTACTCTTGGTGGTCTTCGGTGTGGGTTGTACTCCTTGGAAGATTGTTACTTTCCCCACGAGATAATGCAGTGAAATGCGATGAAAATGTTTGTGATGACCGACACAAAGAGCACTGGACAACTGTTTAGTCCTGTTTGGGACTCGTCAGCAGTGCGTACTTTTTGTGTCCCTGTCAGGTTCTTGGTGCCTCTGAACAATCGAATGGGCTAATCCAGGCCTGATACTCCAAATTGATTGAACCATTCGTGCGAGTTGATGACTGTCGACCGTGCAGCTCAGGGGTAAGGATTTGAAGTCCCAACCTGAATTCCAATTTCTTGTTCTATTGAAGTTTGCGATGATCACAGTGAGGTCGAGGATGACTGTGTGTGTGTGTGTGTGTGTGTGTATGTGTGTAGGACGGAATGGATGTAGCGTGCCGTAATGCAAAGTGAAACTCAAGAAAACTTCAAGCATATTTGTGATAAGCAAGAACAGCAACCCAAATTACATTGAAAGCACTGCAATGCGAGGATTTTAACCATGAGAATGATACCATAATCACATCCATTGATTTATATTTGCCGCGAAAATTCAAAATAAATCTTAATGTGAAAAAATCTTATACTTGTTGTTCTTGGAAGTCATTTTTCAAGTTTGGCTAAGTGAATTCAAGCGAATATCACTAGGGTCACTAATGACTTGGTGGATAAATCACGCAAACTGTCAACGGGGAATCTGTTTTACATTTGGTTACCAATTCCAAGAGTTCGCACTGTCTGATTCTGTAAAAAAACATCTGGCATCAATGTGAATTGCTTTTTGAGAGCTATTCACAATATGGGACCATTTGGTATACGCACGTGACCTTGAAGCGTACTTGAATCTGCGCCAACATGCGGTCGGATTTGTTGGATAGTTGGATCGATAAAAGAATTGGCCAGTCTACATCAGAGAGAAATATGATCACGTTTATCTACTAGTCTGGGCTTGCAATTGGGGTAGAAAGTAGTAAAACAGTAACTATCGTGGAAATTTAGCTTATTATGAAATATTTCGAAGTAGATGACAAGATTAACTTGTCCGAACCATTTCAAATGTTTCTCCGAACCCTTTTGGGTTCAATGGATTGAATATCTTTGTCTCGTCCGGGGTTGAACTGAACCACGGTTAGTTTACGCGGATAGAAAAATATGGCCGCCGAGATCTCACATCGCGCGTATTTTTTCCGTTTGTTCTTTGTATAGCACAATCCGATTTCATGAATTCCCAAGAACTTTCATCGGTTTGTAGTACACAATAGACATAGTTCGTGAGTGTACTTTCAGCCTATCCCACAGTCAAGTGAGCATAGCTAAACCGTGTGTTTGTGTACCGTTGAACGAGCGAACCTCTGCCAGCACCTCAGACCACCGAATACAATTTTACATTACCTTACGTTTTTCACTAATCAGCACTGTCCACCTCAACCCAAAGAAGACTGTTCACACAGACAGAGCAAACTACAATCCCTTACCCGAAACCGTATTCTGCAATCTGTGATCAATTGGATAGTTGCAAATGAGCTTTACTGCTCTCCCATACGTTTCCCCTGTGTAAAGGAAAAATACTTCACCTTGCTCTGCAGATTCTTTGAATTTATGGTGATGTGGATAGAACTGATTCTAGTTGAATTTTTTTGGTTTTCAAGCTTCTCGTAACAGATTTGGCGATAGAATAGCTTACAAAATCATGAAGGCAGTGTGTCAGATTCCCAAAAGAGCTGTCAACAGGCACATCCCCATACATAGAAACGGTACCTTTCTGCACGATGATCGTACCTTGATGAATCGTAAGATAATGGTTATCTACCTAAAAGAAAAACATTTGCTCTAGTTTTTGTGAATTGTATTGTAGAACTTATTTCGATTTATTTACCCACTGTATAAATCCAAAAACTGCTCAGAATTCACTCTTCGGAGGCCCAAGGCTCTTATGGATGAGAATTGACTTTCTACTCGCTTTTCTATGAAACTTGTATCGATTATACACTAATTCAATGACTTTGTATATAACTCGTTATATATATAAATATATATATATATATATCATGATTAGTGTGTGAATGACGGGACAAAATACTCCTGGAAGCACACGACCGGTTTAACGGTGCTTGTCGCTTATCAGCTATGCGTATCGGTCAATCTTCTATCTGATTATTCTTATACTTGAACTCCCGATGTGAAGATCCACAAATTATCCTCGAAATGTGGAACCTGAAAACGGGTTCTCTCCGACGGTTTATATGTTCTGCTTATTCCTAACATCTGGACTACATTCAACCACGTAGATAAGAACAGCAATAATTCCTTTCCCCTACCCCCCGACCCCGCGAGCGCTTGCTGCAGACAATATAAGTCCTTGAATATGCTTATCGAGCATCCAGTTCTTGGTACTTTGAATTAGTCGATCCATCGATGAAATTCTGACTTAATAATGATAAGATGATAGACCATTTCGTAGATAAACATTCGTACAAGTTACACTATCCTGGTACTGCTATGAGTTTATAATGCTAATCTAGTTTACATTACCAACAACAAAAACTCAGTAGAACCTAAACTAATGAGTAATCTTTAATGCACAATCCCTATGCTTCAATGCGGATTTCGATTGTGCGAAAACAGAATTTCGTGAAGCAACCGATCTCCTTAATATTTTCCTGGAATACCGGATCGGCTAACACACATAACACAGCATTATCTATTTAACTGGTTCAACCATTAATACGCGTGAGGACGATTTGTGTGTGTGTGTGTGAGAGAGAGAGAGAGAGAGAGAGATAGGGAGAGAGGATCGGCCGACTAATACCCCAAAATTGGAAAGGCCAAGTTGATGAGATTCCGAAGTGATCGGTAAAATCGACTCCGCGGGCGACGCACTCATTCATTTATCGCTGTCACAATCCGAGCGAGTAATA